TCTGCAGATTGCATATCTGTCCTTGGACGACTGATGTTTATAAAAACAATAACATGAAATAATGGTACGTGTTGAACAAAGGTTGTTCATGGTAGAAAATAAGAGAAAAATGCAGGAAGCGATCTCGTGATGCATGATGTCAAGAGCTATTTTATTTTAATGTATTACATAGATAGACATATTTTGGTATGGCTGATATGATATATATCATACAAGCTGAAAATGATTAGTGGCTGAATCTTAATATTGCAAAGGCGTTCAAACATTCAAAATGTGGATTCTACATTACTGCGTTTCAGCACTGGCACTACAGATAAGCATGATACTTACATCCTATTTCAGAACTCATATACTACACTCAAGCTGGCTTAGTGCTTCTGTTACCTCTATATTCGAAAAGGGTGACAAGTAACCACTAAAAATTACATTCTAATAAGCCTCGTTCTTATCGCCGCCAAAATAGCTGAAAGAATCATATTAGATAAGCACTTAACATTTGCTTCCGAAAATGATCTCGTCCCTAACAACCGGCACGGATTTATCGCTGGACGATCGATGCTCGCCAACCTACTGTCTCACCAATTGGACACAATCTCTGGACAAGTAGACATTTTTTAAATATCGAAGCAGTCGCTGCTATGATGATCCCAAAGAAATTTTGTTAATACGATTTTTGAACTGCCTAAAGTTAGTAGAACTGGGAAAAACTGTCGATTGTTCCATAATCTCGATACCCTCGGGATAAAGGAGCGGTCGTATCGGTTAGTTCTGGATGTACGAAGTTCGACACGGTTAGGAAGGGACGCCAAAGTCAGGCGGGTCTGTCTGGCAGGCACATCGCGCGACGGCATCATGGAAGAGGAAAGATCGTCTGCAATGCCTGAGTGGCGCTTATCAGGGGACTAATAATGATCAACAGCCAAAAAATATCCTAAATAAAATCAACAAAATATTACTATTTTTAATGTGCTAAAACCGGAATGAAACTTATTTTTTCAATATTAGTACAAGTTTTAGAGATACGGTAACTATATGTGTTCCTGCTGTGACAGTGTTAATATACTGTAATTCACAAGAATGCACGTGCTACATTTTTATATTCGGCAAGGAAAGATTATGTAATCGGCATGATTGTGTTAGGTTATACATACGTGTACATTATATTGTTTTATATTAGCCATTTTTTCCTCAGTTGGCTGACAGCGTTCATGCAAGATGTCTCGAATGTGTGTAAACAATCCAGATCAGTTTTGTTACGTGTGTGGTGATGTGACTTTTGCGTCTCAGAGACGGTCTATTACTCCACTAATAACAAAGGCATATCAGCTTTATTTCGGTTGTAAACTAGGTGATCAAGACAAACAGTGGGCACCCCACATCTGCTGTAATACATGTGCTTCAAGTCTGAGGAGCTGGTTAAATGGCAAAAAACGGTCTATGCGCTTTGCTGTCCCAATGGTTTGGAGAGAGCCTACAAATCATATGAATGATTGTTACTTTTGCATGGTACCTTGTGTTGGACAAGCCACAGGTATGTCCAAGAAAAAAAAATTGGTTATTATCTACCCAAACATACCATCTGCGATGAGACCTGTGCCTCACAGTGACAAAAATCCTATTCCAAAACCCCCAGAATCCTACACTTGTGAATCAGAAAACGAATCAGATCATGGCGATCGAGTGATTCGTCAGGAAGAAGATATGCCATCAACGTCAAGAGATCCTGATTTTATACCGAGTACGTCATGCCACTAACCGCACAAAATAACACAGTCAGAATTAAATGATCTTGTAAGAGATTTAAAACTTCCAAAATGTAAGGCAGAGTTACTTGGATCAAGACTGCAGCAGTGGAACTTGTTAGAAGACGATGTTTCGGTATGTGTTTTTCGTAAACGCCACAAAGACTTAGAACCATTTTTCAATATGGAGAATAACTTGGTTTTCTGCAGTAACATTAACGGCTTACTGGCGGCTTTAAATATAAACTATAACCCAGAAGAATGGAGATTGTTTATAGACAGTTCAACATTGAGTTTAAAGGCAGTGTTATTGCATATTGGAAATATTTTACCATCTCTTCCTGTAGGGTATGCAGTTCACATGAAAGAATCATATGACAATATGAAGTACCTATTGACATGCATAAAATACGATGAGCACCAATGGCATATTTGTGGCGATTTGAAAGTTGTTGCACTTTTACTTGGGCTGCAGCTAGGCTACACAAAGTTTTGCTGTTTTTTGTGTGAATGGGGCAGTCGGGCAAAGGCACTTCATTACACCAGACCAAACTGGCATGTTCGTCAATTCCTACAGCCAGGTCAAAAAAATGTACAGCATATGCCATTAGTAGATTCGAAAAAAATTTTATTACACCACTGCATATCAAGTTGGGCCTAATGAAAAACTTTGTCAAGGCATTAGATAGAGATGGGTCAGCTTTTCAATACCTGCGTCAGAAATTTCCAAGACTAAGTGAGGCAAAGGTTAAAGAAGGTGTTTTTGTTGGGCCACAGATTCGAAATATTTTGAAAGATACACAGTTTGAAAACACTTTAACAGGTATTGAAAAAACTGCTTGGAATGATTTCCATCTGGTGGTCACTAATTTCTTGGGAAATAGAAAAGCTGACAACTGTAAAACCCTTGTCAAAAATATGCTGTCATCGTATCAAAAGATGGGCTGTAATATGTCTATTAAGATACATTTCCTACACTAACACCTGGACTTTTTTCCTGACAATTGCGGAGCCGTAAGTGATGAGCACAGCGAACGTTTTCATCAGGATATTTCAACAATGGAAAAAAGGTACCAGGGAAAGTGGAATCCTTCCATGCTTGCAGACTACTGTTGGACTCTTGGCAGAGATGCTCCAGAAACGATCCATAAAAGAACAGCAAAAAGACAGCGCATATAGTGATTCTTATAAGTATATGAATCTTGTTACTTTTTTTAATATATCCTTAAAAATGAAAAGTTTTTTTTTCTAAACCGCAACTAATTTTTTTATTTCATTGTCATTTTTGGATTTAGCGCCCCAAAATTAACAATGGAGTGCACTTTTCCCACAAGATACAATTAAAAAACTAAAATTTGTTGTCCAGTGTAATCTGCTTTAGGGACCTGAGCGCTGTTGCTAGGTCCACATTTTGAGTAGTCGTAAATGAGCTCGAAACAGCAGGGGCAGTTGAGGTGTCATCTCTTGCTGCGTCCGCGTTTGACTTTGCTCGCCTTTGTGCGATGACTTGTATATTTTTCCTAGGAGTAAATCTACAGGTAGGACTATTTGCCGGATGGGCCCCCCCACATCTGCGCACCTCTTGTCCTGTTTGAGGGCGCAAATGTGTCATGTGGTCTTGGGCATATTTTACACACTTTGTCGGCGCAGTGCAATACGACTTTGCGTGTCCATACTTCTGGCAGCGGTGACACTGCCCAATGAGTAGCGAGTTCTTCTGAACTTCGACTCTGATAGAGAGCCCCAGCAATTCGTGCTCGTTGAACACTTGCTGTGACTTCTCCGTCTTAGGCAGGATCACCACCACCAAGGGCATGGGCTCGCCGCCGTTACGCTCTAGCGTAACCCTTCCGTTCTAGCTCATCGTTGACCTCCTGTTCGGTGGTTGACGGCGGGATCCCTCTGATAACCGCCTGGATGTTACGTTCAGTGGGCAAAGGGAATGTGTGATGAGGAATGTTTCCCTCTTTGAAAAGACGGATTATCCTGCGATAATCGTCTTCGGTTTTGGGGATGATACGTATCCCAGCGTCAACGGCGACTGCTCGTTCAATACGAATACCAAGACTTACAAAGGAATAGTTTAAGGTGCGCCATTTTGTCGCATCTCTCAACACGATGGGAGTAATACGCCCCTGGCGAGGCGATTGGGCCTGTGTGTTTAGAGATCCGCTGGATGGCAAGGAAGATGAGTTGCAGCCAGCCAATGGATCAGACTGCACTTGGGGTATAACAGGAGAAGCACTCTGTGTGGATGCTGATAAAGGTCTTTCCCTTGGCTGACTACTAGAAGCGGTAGAGGATACAGACACAGACGGTTTTAGGTTGCCTGAATGTTTGTTATTTGGGGATTTCGTCGGTAGCGGAGAAAATTCTGTTTTGCGCAGTTTCACTTTGCGACGTCGCACAGATGTGTAAAGATCACCCTGTGTGTCCTCATCGGTCCCAGTATGTAGGTTACTCGAATGTCTGTTCTGTCTACGTTTTGCTGTTTAGGAAGAATCACCATTGGGAACTGATTTATTAATGATACTTGTAAGCTTAAAAACCTGGGCATTAAGTGACTACACACAGTCAAACAGTCTCTGAATCTGGGGTGCTTGGTCTGCAATTATCTTCAAAAGTCTCTGGTTCTCGTTCTCCTTCTCCAGTATCGTTATCATCCCTGATGGCATCATTGGCGGCATCTCGTTTTGGTTTTCTGGAATATGTTCCAAAGTAGCGCTGCACTCCGCGCCAATTCCACTCAAAGCAGTAGAGGCTGGGGACTTCTCGGGTTCAGCTTCCATAATATTATTGCCTTCTTCAGATGCAAAAAATTTGACAATTATAATGGGATCAAGTTATACCCGTTATTTGTCTGGCTGTCCAGGCACAGATTATATCACCATTCACCAGAAGCAAATATCTGTTTTAAAGTCAGAAAGTATGGAACGGGATACCTTAAACTGAGTAAGGCCACTTGATTACGTGTAACTGCATTTTTATAAATCCAGTTGATCATATTTTTATTGATATACCAAGCAATAGTGATTGCCCAAAATATACAAACTGTATTATAATTTTTCATTCATTTGGAAGTACCTCGGCTTGGCAATAAATGGTTTACGAGATACTGTATGCACACAAAAATACCACTCCATTCATACATAGAACGTAGAGCAGCTGTAAACGTTTTAATGGCATCGTAAAATGTAGAAACTGTAACGAATTTTTATGACTTGAAAAGCAAAACCACAACCTGTATCGTTTTGTTCCAGGTACAAATCAACATCTTCCAAGTTCCTAGATAGAAAACCAAAAATCGAGTGCTGTGATACACACCAAACCTGTGATAAAACATAAACTAATCTACTCTTCTTCGCCAACAAAATGTCTTCCTGTCACCAACAATGACCAATAACCAACACGTGATGCTGAACGGCGTGTGCGTCACTGATGGGGGAAATGCGGGGGCTTCGGAGCAGTTCGAGAAGCTATTAGGTTTGTATTAGCAAAGTTTACACAATAAAGAGGATTTTGGTAACCGAGAGGAACAAAGCTAGAGGGTAGACGGACTGGTCCTCGTCTACAGCCTATGCATTACGTTTTGACGTCTACTGATGTGAACAGCTGATCAGCATCTTTATATTAGTCTATAATGAATCCGGAGTAAAATCTGGTAAAACGCCGGAACGTATTTAAAGCTGTTTGGAATTTGGTTTTTAACGCTACAGTGCGCTTCTGCCAAGTCCATCTCATGTTGCTAAGGTCCTTGACATGGACACGAACCCCATTTACTGAAACCTTGGACCGGGCGCCGCTACGCCTTTTATTACAATAGATGCGTTCTCGAGTAATTCATTTTGATCAGCCACCGATCCGCCCATTCCAATACTTCAACCATCGCAATTTGCATTTTGTCGTGATCCAGAGTCTCGGAAGTTGACTGGGCTACCAATGCAGTGTTATCAACGTATACAGGGTTCCCAATAAGTACCGCGACAAACTTAAGGAGAAGGTAAGCTTTGGACTGACCACAAAAACTTACCTATACAGGGTGTCCGCAAAGTTGGGGTTTTCCTTTACACGACGTGTAGATCTTGAAAACATAAGCAATTTTTCTTAGTACCATATACACCAATGTCTTAAGGGAACCGAGATAAAGGGCTCTGCAACATCAAATATATGTGAATACCGTCCTGTAGCCGCGACCCGCGACATCCCCGAGTGGTACAAGGTCACTGGCTCAACCCGACGACAGAACTGGGTCGGGGTCAGTGTGTCAGGTCAGTATGCAACCTTCAACCGACGGTTACGGTCACGCGTGTAGAGGTAATCGCGTAGACGAAAATCCCTTAACAAGCACTAGAGACGTAGCTAGAGAAGTGCAAGTATCAAAAACTAAAGTGTGGCAAACGCTGCGTGAAGCGGGGCTGTATCCGTTTCATGTCCAACGTGTACAAGCCCTTCAACCTGACGATTTTCCAGCAAGAGTGCGGTTTTGTGAGTGGTTGTTGCATCAACATGACAATAATCCGGACTTTTTGGAGTGCATACTGGTGACAGACGAATCTATGTTTACGCGTCATGCGGTGAATAACTTTCGCAACACTCATGTTTGGTCAGTAGAAAATCCGCACGCTGTCCGTCGGGCACATTTTCAACAAACATTCTCGGTGAATGTTTGGGCTGGCATGGTGAACGGTATGCTCATTGGACCATTTATTCTCCCAAATCGATTGGACGGGATGCAATACCTAGACTTTTTACGCAACATTTTGCCTTCATTGTTAGAAGATGTGCCATTAAGTGTAAGACAATCAACGTGGTTTCTGCGCGATGGTGCACCGCCCCATTTTAGACGCGAAGTGCGTGAGTTTTTGAATGAATTATTTCCGAATAGGTGGATCGGACGTAATGGACCCGTAGCGTGGCCTCCGCGATCTCCAGACTTAACACCATGTGATTTTTTTCTTTGGGGAGAAATGAAACGCTTAGTGTACAAAACTGAAGTGCATACGGTTGACGAATTTCGTCTCAGAATTGAACAAGCTGGTGCTTTCATTCGGGGACTCCATTCTCAAAGCCTGCACCGATGCTTGGCTACGTCGTGCACGCGCCTGTGATTTTGATTCAAACGGCGATAACTTCGAACAATACCTATAAGGTACTTTTACCTAAAAACTGAAAACGGCAACGCCGTCATATTTGTTACCTCTGTTCGTGGTCTGCACCACCCCCTGCGTCTGCTCGGCAGCGCATCAGCTGATTTGATTTTCTGTTGGAGCGGTATGATTTCGGGCAGAGACGTACTTAGCCCTTTCGTCAACTGGAGAGTGAGTACTTTTTCTTTTATTTTGTTTTACTTGGTCGCCCTCGTTTCACTACACATTACCTTTGTTATTTCAAGGGTAGTTGTTTCTGAAAAGGAAAACCCCAACTTTGCGGACATCCTGTATAAAGGTATCACCGTTTTTGAGATAACGAATTTTCTCTTAAATTTAAAAAAAAAACGAAACGTTTCATCTGTGGTCTTTAGCTGCATGTACAAATAAGGTTAATTTTTTCTATAAAATACTTCCAGACAGGTGCTTTATCATATTCAAGTGCAATGTAGTCAAGGGCGGATTCAGGATTTCGTCTAGGGGGGGGGGGTGCAAACGATATTTGCGGCTGGTCATTTTTTAAACTCGGTGGAACTTCTAGAATTTATTCTATTATTGCTCCTTAAATCCATTGTGTTCTATCTGATCAAGGCCGGCTTGAAAAAAAAACATGGAAAATGCTCAGAAATCCTCAAAAAGGCAATATTTTATTATATGGGAACAAAATACGTGCGGGGCGTGTCTAATTAACTAGTGTAATAATATTAAAGATTCAAACATAAAAAACTTCATTGCTGGTAACAAAAAAAATAAAACATTCTGAGGGACTCCGAGACATATCCCAGTCCATTCCACACAAAACAGTGTTTTTGATTGCGAAAACGAACACGACACGGTTAGGATGGGAGGTCAAAGTCAGGCGGGTCTGTCTGGCAGGCACATCGCGTGGCGGCATCGTGGGAGAGAGCTCTGAGGAGCAATGCGCGTTGGCGTAGCGGTACAAGAGAGCTAGATCGCCGACAGCCCGCCTGTGCGAAGGGGTACCGAGACTGTCTGTTAGAGAAGAGTCATCGATCAGACGGACTGCCCTCTTCTGGTCATCATCGGGCATAAATAATGTAGTCGGGGCAGCAGCACCCCGAATGTGTGAGCAATACTCGAGGCTAGGCCTTATCTGGGCCTTGTATAGAGTGAGAAGATCATGCGGAGAAAAGTACTTCTGAGCCCTAAACAAATAGTCTAACTTTTTCCCAGCAGCTGCCGCTCTTGACGAGATGAGTTCGTGCTTCTCGGTGATCTGGACACAGACCTGTTGAAGTGAATGGCTCTTTGGCAGAGCTCGGACAACCATCGAAACGGGATAAGCTTTAGGACTTTTGTTCGTCAAGGTACAGGACTGTGTTTTGGAAGCATTAAACTTTAAAAGATTGTTGCGTCCCCAAGCAATGATAACCTCCAGGTCTCTCGTCAGAGAGGAAGTCGTCGCTAGTCTTCTATTTTCCAGCTCAGCGGCAGTGATCGGCTGTCGCTCCGAATTCCTGCATGTAGAGTACTGTTCTCAGCAAAGCTGTGGATTGAGTGGATCGTGCAGGAAAGGAGGTCGTTGATATGTAAGAGGATCGAACGCTTTCGTGATGTCAAGAGCAACGACATAAACCTCACCATAAGACTGGATAAGTTTACTCCACAATCGCGTGACGTAAGCTAGGAGGCCCCCTGTAGATCGCTGGTGCGGGAAACCATACTGCCTGTCGCTAATCAAGGTGTGAGGTTCGAGATAGTCCAGAAGCTCGCGATTTAGGCACCTCTAAATCATCTTATTTATAACAGAATACAGACCTATAGGCCTGTAGTTGTAAGGGTCGGTCTTAGATCCCTTTTTTGGGGTGGGTTAGACTTGAGCGAATTTCCAGTTTTCTGGGAAGGTGCCAGATTCATAAGGTATGTGGAAGAGACGCGAAAGAATTGGAGCAAGCTCCGCTGTACACCTCTCCAGTACAATGGCAGGAATCAAGTCCGGTCCAGAAGCCTTGTTGATGTCGAGCGACAAGAGAATTCGTCTTACGGTCTTATACCTGAATGTTACTTCCCGCATAGGGTTGGAGGGGACGTCCATGGTGGAGTTGGCAGCAAAGATCTTGGCAAGGACTTCCGCCTTGGCCTTTGAGTCCAATACAATCGTTTCATCCTGACACGTAAGTGGTGGAATTCTGCTGTGTGAGAGTTTCTTTTCAATCTGCTTGGCCAGCGTCTAGAAAGACTGACTGCCATTGCGCTGTGACCCTGGTCTAGGCACTTTCACTGTATGAGGGATGTATTCCTCCATTCCGACGTGGATAATTTTGGTTATCGAAGAACAGACAGCCGACGCATCCGCGTCAGTGAAACAGACATCTCTCACAGAAAAGGCAGAAGAGAAGTATCTGAGCCCCTCCCAGTCCATAATGCCACATTGTGCGGCCTGTGCGAGTTTCTGCTGCCACAGCGGGTTCTGACCGAAACATAACCACACCGTGGTCTGAGCTACCCAGGGGGACAGGACAGCAGTAATGTAAGGGACAGGATGCGTGGTCAGAAAGAGATCCAGCAAGCTACTGGAAGGAGGAGAACTACCTCTGAAGGGGGGTGATCGATGTTCAGGAAGTCGATCTTGGCATGCCCCCAGGACCTTGAATATGCGGGATCTGTTCTCGCTTTCCGTTTTTGACTAATTTCGTCACTTTCCAGAGAGGAACACTTGCGTCAAGCATGAAGAACATTCCTTACTTCATGAACAAGGTTTGTCACTCTGCGAATGTCGTTTTAGAGTCTTGTCAAGAATTCAAAAATCTCTCTGAAGATATGCATCAGAAAATTTCTGACAAAAGGGCTGCAATTAAGCAAGCGAACAGGTCTTGTCATCCTGATGACATTCGCAGAGCGACGAATCGTGCTCATGAAGTAAGAAATGCTCTCCATAATTCCTCAATGAGCAATGGAACGACTTTCTGGCGGGATGGTTGACTCAAGTACTCCTCTCTGAAAAGTGGCGAAGTCGCTCAGAAACGGAAAGCGAGACCAACTCCCGCACATCCACGGCCCTGGGGGCATAGTCTTCAGGACAGAAGACAAGATCGAGGTTTTCGCTGATGCTATGGAACGACAGTTCTCTCCCAACTATGATCTTGATAATGATCTCGACGACGAGCAACAAATTGTAAGATCCGTCTGGAGATATTTTAGGGCTAACGTCGTCAGTGATGCCGACGCCGCCATTAGTGATTCTTCCTCAGAAGATTCTTTTTTGGAAGATTCAGCTGAAGAGTTGCACAGCACATCAGCGGCTTCTCCCGAGATCCCGCATTGCACACCAGCAGAGCTTCAAGGTCATATTAAAGACCTCAAGGTGCGTAAAGCGCCTGGAGAGGATCAAATCACTAATAAGGCGCTGAAGCCGCTTTCACGAAAGTCCTTGACTTATCTCGTGGCAATTATCAATGGCATGCTAAGGACCCAGTACTTTCCATCGGCGTGGAAGACTGCGGAAGTTATAATGATTCCAAAGAAGGTGGGTTCGATATTTCCCCAGGACTATCGTCCCATCAGCCTACTGTCTGCTCCGTCTAGGCTCGCTGAAAGGGTGATTCTACGTCACCTTGCGAATTTCTCGTCAGATCACCATGTGATTCCTGACGTGCAATTTGGATTTCGGTCTGAGCATAGAACGGAACGGAGAACAGGCGGTTAGGCTTGTGGAGCGAGTAACCAGGGGCTTCACCCTTAACGAAAATACTGGCATCTTGTTTCTGGTTGTCTCGAAGGCATTTGATAAGGACCTTCTCTATAAACTAATTCAAAAGGGCTTTCCATTTTGGCTCCTAAAACTTTTGAAATCCTTCCTTGAAGGTAGGAAATTTCAGATCAAAATTAATAATTTCTTGTCGACAGTACGGCCCATCAGAGCCTGCGTCCCTCACGGTTGGGTTCTAGGGCAAATCCTGTACTCACTTTTCACGCATGATGTCCCTTGCCCTAGCGATTGCGAAGTCTATCTATATGCTGATGACACTGCACTGGTGGCCCAGTCGCGTACCGGAAATCTTTTTCACGACAGGTTACAAAGAGCGGTGAATGAGCTATTGGAATGGACAGATCGGTGGCTAATCAAAATTAATTATTCGAAAACGCGGGTTATCTATTGTACCAAAAAATGTAGCGGCGCCCCGCCTGAGGTTTCAGTGAACGCAGCTCGCATGCCATGGGAAAATTCTGCTAAGGATCTCGGTGTCACTCTTGACTGGGGGATGACCTGGGCAGAATCACATTGAAGCGTTAAAAACTAAATTCTAACTTACGTTTGGGCAACTCTACCCTTTACTATGTAGAACCTCAAAATTAAGTTCGGCTATACTAGATGGTTATCAGACCAGCAATCACTTACGCATGTGCAGCATGGTGTTTTCTTGCATATGCGTAATCTGCAGGTTTTGCAGAACAGAACCATCTCTAACGCACCATGGTATGTCTCCAATGAGACCCTTCACAGAGACCTCGACATCCCTTACCTAAGGGACTACATCAAACATCACGCGCAGTTACGTTACAGTCAAGCGGAATTGTACAGCAACCCTCTGTTGCGTGAGTCAGTAGACTACACAGTCGAGCAAGTTCGCAAGCACACAAGACCGCGGCTCGCACTGTGATCAAAATGAAATCGTGCAATTCAGTCTGGATCCAACCAAAATTACGATTTTTTGCCACACAAAACTTCCTAAATTAATCTCTGGATTAATTTAAGATAACCGAATACCAGTTGACAATAGCAAGATATCCCTTTAACCGGCGCACTTCACCCTCTTTGCTCTTCCCCCTTCCTTCCTTTCTTTCTTCATCCTTTCTTTCTCCCTGACTTCGTCTGGTATTTGGGTAACCAGACCTGACAGACCTACTGACCTACGATACATTAACAAAGAGCCAAGGTCCCACGGACAATGATGAATTCGAAAATTAATTTATATACAGGGTATTCTATATCGTAATAAGTTAATAACTGTTTCCGGTGTAACCCCTCCAACTTTTCTTTGGCTTTTCGATAGTAGGATTTATCTTTACGTAACTTATCCTGTGTTTGACATGTCGGTAATACCGCTGTAATACCCCTACTGGGCGGGGCCGTGGCAGTATACAACTTCGTCCCGTTCAAGTGATTGTACACGCGTTAAGGAATACCTCAGTACCGATTGCTGGGTCCAATCGCCAACGGACGACTTTAGATCTATTTAACATCAATAATGCGGCAAAAAAAAGGTAGTAGACAAGGACCAGTCGATCGAGGTGATTTGTTTCGCGAACATCTACGGAATTAACAGCAACATTGATCCATCACTACCTGCAATCTAGTCGTCCCGCCATGCTTTTTTTGGCGGAGACAAAAATCTCAGAGTTTGCACCGATTAATCACCTTATCTTGGCAAACTACGAGGTGCACTCCAGTCTAAGAAAGATGAGGAGGAGTTGTGGCTTTTGTCCGCAGCAGTCTTTCCTTCAGGGACCTTTCTTTTATTTGCTACCCTCAGACCATAACTGGGACGACCTACTTGTATACCTCAAGATCCACCTCCTGAACATCAATCACCTCGCTTCAGGGGTAGTTCTTGGTGATTTAAATGCTCATAATGGGCTTTGGTTGGGCTCAAACAAGACCGATGCAACATGTCGTGCATGTTCGCTATTACTCAAGGGCTGACCCAGCTGGTGACGAGCCCTACTTTTTTTCCCCGCGTCTCGTCACATGCAAGTAGCCTGCTTGATCCCTTTCTGACCACGCGTCCTGTCCCCTACACCACTACTGTTCTGTCTCTCCTGGGTAAGTCAGACCATGGTTTTGTGGAGGTTAAGTTTCGGTCAGAACCCGCTGTGGCAGCAAAAACTCGCCCTGGCCGCAAAATTTGGCATTTCGGACATGCCGACTGGGAGGGGCTCAGCGATTATTTTGAATTTTTGCGCAGTGTAACCTGATTTAGTTTATATTCATGATAAATTCCTAAATATTCTGTTTCAGGTAGCAGATGTCAGACTGCCCCTACCCTTCCTGCACTTTTACCCGTAAAAGAGATCTGCGGCCAGAAGTTAGATAAAAGAAGAAGATCTGATAACAGTTTATTGGGTTCGTTCTATAGGCTTAGAAATTCAATTACGTCTGGAAGTAAAGATGCTCCAAATCAAATCAACAGAATCAACAGGTAAGGTTTTTGTTTCTGTAAAATTGAGGTGTTTTTCCATTTTTTATGCATTACCGTCTTTACATTGGGAATGGGTCCTATGTACAAACCCATCGGTCTTGTCCAGAGAGCGAGGTCACGTTAGCAGTGCGATAAAGGGTAGGGAGAAAGTCGGTTGGGAAGGTCGCTTGTATAAAGAAGAAAAAGTATTGGCCCTAGCACAGATCCTTGTGGAACTCCACTAGTAACACGATGGCTAGAAGAATAGGCGTCTCCAACACGGACGGAGAAAGATCTATATAACAAAAAAGCTTCAATTCATAACAACAAATTTCCCCTGATTCCGAGATGTTCAAGCTTGTGCAGGAGCCTTTTATGCGGAACTCGATCGAAAGCTCTGGAAAAATCCAGATAAACCACGTCGACCGGTTCATGTGCGTCTAAAGACCTGATCCAATTGTCGATGCAGTGTAAAATGTTGGTGATTTAGACATAAATATCTAACAATCAATTTTCAGAAAACCAAGTATATGCCGTTCACAAACCTTAAAAATAAATTACCGTCATTTACCTCTTTACAAATTAAATGTGACAATACAAGTACATTAATACATTCAGCTGATATAACAAAATATTTAGGTGTTCATTTGGATCCTCATTTGAAGTGGAATTTCCATGTTGATCATATAGTAACTAATTTAAGACGATTATTATTTAAATTCAAGTACTTCACTAAATATCTAGACCATGAAATATCATGCACTTATTGAATGTCGCCTAAATTATGCCATACTAGCTTGGGGTGGTGATTTCACCAACCAAAGTAAGAAGCTAGAAATAATCCAATGACAATTCTTGAAAATTATTTTTAAACGACCAATTCCATATCCGTCTGATATGTTATATTCCGAACCGAGACTCTTTTTTTTACAATGTTTTGATCAATTTATTCAAAGATAAAACAAACCTCATTTCATTGAACCACAAATATGAAACAAGAAGTAAAGTCGAGGACATTAGAAGAACACCATTTACATCAAAAAATGTAGGTCAAATATGCTTCAGTTACCTCTCCACTAGATTTTATAACTTTTTACCAAGCCATATAAAATCCATTTCAAATAAAAATAGATTCAAAATTGAAATAGAAAGATTCTTGTTAAATAATAATCGACAATAGAAAAACTCACTAAAATTAAAATAAAATAGTATTTGAATATAATAACACTTACCTTTATGGTTATGTTTTGTTTGCTTACATTTATGTATTAGCTGTATTTAACTGTTTTGAGAAAAATTGTTATGAAAAATGTTTTCCCACGCACAAGAAGTAAATTCTTCTGTGGGATTATTTCAGTTTATTTACGTATACGAATATATGCATATTTATTATCAATAAACTGTAATACTTTATACGTGAATAAACTTATATTATTATTACTATTATTATTATTATTATTATTATTATTATTATTGTCATTTATCTATTCTATTCATGTTTGTATGTATTTTTGTATGGGTTATGTAAATTTTCCCAAATAAAAACACGTGTATTATTATTATTATCTTGCAAACCCTATAATTTTTCTCTACTTCAAGAGATATTTTACAAAAAAGTACCATATTCATTAGGTTCACCTCATTTCAAAGACGCGTTCTCATTGTTTGAATTTGTGACCCACGTGATTTTTTTATTAAAAAACTCAGATCGATAATCTCGAGTATTTTATTTTGAAATCTCGGAGTACCCACGCGTCAACGAATATATGTATACATTTTTACAGACAAATCTTGCATTACCAAAAAAGTTAAATTGACCCAGTTGTGAGATTTTTCGTTGCATAGATAAAAATATCGTTTTTCACCCGAGTTGTTATTTATTCGAAAAATACACAAGAATAAATCATTAAATCACTTTTGACTACATTGCAAAAGTAAATGTGCGTAAGAAACCAAGTAGGTTGGGCATGGACATTCAAATTAATTGCTATTACTCATTCATATGCATACATATAGGTACGTACATGTATAGACATAATATATACAGGTACATATTTATACATATAATGGTGAATATGTTACTATGATGTATATTATACAATAACAGATTAAGGTGTGCAATATAATGAATAAACTATTTTATGGATGAATGAATGAATATATTAAAGGAACGAATGAATGAATTCATGATATTATAGTGTCAGCTAAGGATAGCAAAAAGTATTTAAAACTTCTATGTACTAATTTCTATAAGTTTTTTGGCCTCTCGTCTGCCAATTAGGAAAATATACTTTTTCAATATACTTTTTATCATGTTGGTATTTCGATTTATCGATTATACAGGGTGTCAGTTGAGTCATTTATTTTAACAGTGAGTAGATCTGATCAAAATAAATGTTTTTTTCCTTTAACATTTTTGTGGTAAAATTAAAGTAACAAAGTTATAGCCCTTTAGAAGTTTGAGTACCGCCCTGTCTCAATAAAAAAGCGAAAGAATTTGAAACGCTTATCACGATGTTTTTACTACAATTTTATTCAGTTGTATTCAGTCAATGTGTCAGTCGGTGACGCGTGAGTGAATAGTGGTGTTGGTTGCATGGCTCAAACGAAATAAAAAATGGCACATGTTTACGAAAATGCTGAACTTGTGAACTTGTGGACATGATTCTTATTTACGGGGGGAGTCTTTACAAAATGCTGCCGCGGCATCACGGATTTATGCGGATCGGTTTCCCAATCGAGTGCAACCAACCTCTCGTGCCTTTGTTAATGTAGTACAAAGGGCTCGTGAATCAGGTGACTTAAGACCTCACAGGGGAGGGCATGCCGGTGCTCCAAGACCGCACGATCAAATACAGGTCCGCACTGAAATACTTGTCGGGAGAATACTTTATAAAACAAGGTAACATTTTTTTTATTTTTACACACATATTTTGGTTTATCTTCCTTCTACAATCATTATCTGAAAATTAATGACTCAACTTCAAAGTCACCCTGTATAATATGTTTGATACAGGTATATTTGGTAAGCTATTATAGATTTTACCTGAGAAATAGGTATGACATCGTAAACCTATACTTTAAGTTACTTTTCAATTACTAATTTTTCATTGTCTCTTTGTATTATGTTGTATCATGGCTGATGGTATTGAGATTTTGCTTGTTCTTGTAGATAAATTTAAAAATAAATAGATAGATAATTTTTCATTTATTCATAAGCCGATGCATAGAACATTGTTAAAGAGAAGTATACCAGCTAGCTAAAATTAATTGTAAAAGAAATATACAATTACAAAGATTTTTATATTTCATATGCCTTCACAATCATAAACAAGAACTATATATATATATATATATATATATATATATATATATAACTTGAGACGTGGTCATTGTCGTCTAGACCAGTTAGGTGAAAAATAAAGCTTCCGCCTGTTGTTGGGTACTTCGACAAAATTCAAGCAATAAGGACTCTTTATACTCTTTGTGAGATTGTTGCTAAATGTTATTAACCTTTAAGTTGAGGGAAACACCCAGTCACCTGGTGAAAGCTGGATACATGGTACATTCGTCAAAATTAATATAAAATATACACAGCTGTATGTCAGGAAAAAATTAAAACGGATTAAAAATATTTAGAACGAAAGCTTAAATTACATCGTGAACCACCTGATGCTACACAAAATGGTGTGGCCACCAGGTTACTGGGTGTTTCCGTCAACTTTTTAGCAACAATCTCACATACTATTCTCCTGATGAAGATGGCAAAGTCCATTGAAAGCTAGAGACTACTAAGGTATAAAGAGTTCTCATTGCTTGAATTTTGTCGAAGTACCCAACAAAAGGCGGAAGCTATATATATATATATATATATATATATGTATGTATGTATTTAATTACACCAATTTTCCATATAGTCAACATTATCAATAAAGGTATGTAAAGTAGCAACAATGATATGCAGTACAAAATATTCTAAATTCTATAGAGTTGATAAGATGCTTAAATAGTTGTCTGAGGTCTACTATTGCGGTTTCAAAGAATAATTTGTCAGTTGGATACGAGATTTTTTATTGGCCCTTATTTTCTGTATTCGCAATAATTTGTCACGTTACAGAAGTTACATTTCTCCTCCTAGGTAAATAATGATAATGAAAAATCCCTACGAGCTAGATAAATAATAAATGTGTGTGCGTACAACTTTTTTGGCCTATTGGGTATTCAATTGTAATTGCTATTAAGCACTATATCAAATTTTTGAATATTACTACTTTTTGTTTGCTACGAGTAAATGTAAAGACTACTTTATAGCTGAAAGTATTGCTGTTGATTATATTTGTTTATCCAATTATTTAGACAGCTTGCAAGCCCAATGCTTCTTTAGAATTTGAAAATGAGTGGGAGGGAATGATGTATCGACATAGCGTCTTCTACTTTTATCGGAAATTTCTGCTTTCTGCATTATTTTTTTTGTTTCAATAAAACGAAAAAACACTAAATTTTTACCTTGATTAGGAGTCTATTAGAAGACAACGTTAGTCCGTAGTTACTTAAATTGCACTTTTAAAAATTGAAACCAATATATTTCGTTTTCCTAAGGCTAATACTGCAAGAAATACTTATTTATTCTATGAAATTAGATATGAGTCAAGTAGTCTATTCAGACTAGGTAGAAGGAGCCAGTCAAGAATATGTTTGTCTGCTAATTCTCATAATCTGTTGTGGGGATCAAAGTGCACGTGACATAAGTCAATTTTTTGACCGTTCTGTCATTAGATTTGCATTTTTAATGCTATTTTTTGAAGAATATTGTGGTGTTAGAGAATATTTCAAGACATGGTACTTCATACATACAAAGAGCACTATAAAAGTCTTGCAATACAGCTTTATTTATTGACTTCGTTCAAAGTAATTCCCACCACATTCAAAGCACTTCTCGATCTGCCAAAACCAGTCCTTAAACCAGCTCTGCCAAGTTTCACTCAGGAGTGCGGCATACTCGTTTTCCCAAGCCCGTAGAAGGTCCTCGTCGCTAGAAACCCGTTTTTCATTTAGCATCCTTTTCACATGCGGAAACAGTGCAAAGTCGCAGGGAGCAAAATCTGGACTTTAATAAGGGTGCTCAATAAGTTTCAGTCCACTAGTGGTCGAAGACTTGGTGCAGGCTTTGGCGCGATGACCTGGAGCGTTGTCAGGGTGTCCATTCTTGACTTTGACTGCAGGTTTTTCATAGGCTCTATGACTTAAGGCAGACACTGTTCCTTGTACCACTTAGCCGTGACT